GTGAGACATATAGAGTAAGAAATAAATTAATTACTTTTAATATTTATGTATATATATTTTTTATATATATATATATATATATATATATATATATGTAGTAATACATCGTAGTCTAGTTACTTAACGTAAAGATTAGTTAAGCCTGACGAGTATAGACATACGTGGATTAGACCGATAGGTGTTGACGTTGAATCTTAAACCTAAAACAGTAAGAGTTCACCTGAAGCATTTCTTGAAGTTACATGTGATTTGTAATATGAAGAGGAAATTAACGTGTGATCCAATTTAGTAACTGTTGCATAGAGCAAAGGCAAACTAACTTTTTTAGGCCTGTAAATGTGTCTTATCATTCGCTTATTCCATTAACCACAATGTATTTTCCCCACGTTATTGTTAAAATGCGCAAGCCACTTCATTTTACAGAGTGTAATTCTACATAGAATTGTGTATTTTGTGACATAGTTATCAACTATTCATTTTATCCTACATAATTCATTTAGCGACAGTTAGAGGTGGAGGAGAGTAAATAGCACATACAGTACATAGGTATACTTAAAAAAACTAGATATGCATTTTGGTTTGGGCACGTGACAATACATCTTAAGTTTTAATTAGTTTTAAAGATTTATTTTGAAATAAAGGACTTTAAACTTGGATAAAATAAAACCTCGAATCATAACACGTATTATAATATTAATTTAATTCACATACAGTGATATTAAAGGTGTTTAAATTATTTTGAAATGTAATCAAGTGCAGAAAAGTGTTTGAAGGGGCTCCCATTGTGAAAGGGTTAAATAAGCTATTGGATGTTTAGTGATGAGGAAAGGAAAAAAATTTCTGAAAAATTGCTGTCAATGATGAAATTTGTTTCTGAGTTCTGATGATTTCCTAACATGCACTACCAACTGAGACAGCTTTAAGAATTGATCAAGGATTTTTCCTATTGAAATGTTTTTGTTACCTATATTTAGCTGTTCTGTTCTTATAGGATAGTAAGAAATAAGCAGTGGAGGTTGAAGGTATAATTTTCTGTTGAGAAAGCAGAATTATCTTTTACTGTTAAAAATAGTTGTTTGTAGCCAAACTCGCAATGTGCTCTCGTAGGTTACTTTAGTTGAAATGGAGATAATTAAATATTATTAACAGCATTTATATCAAACTGATGAAGTGGTGCATTCTAATTCTCATAAATAAGACCAATTTATTTAAATAATTAACTTTTTGCCATGTTCAGTTTTAGATTTGATTTAAGTAGGTAGCTTGATTTCATCAAAAGTTAATATTAATTATTACTACCTCATTATTGAGATTGGAAATTTTACCCTCCCACAATGTAATGTCCAAGGCAAAGGGGCAAACAAATGATGTGACAAAGAAGGAATCCCATACACTTGTTCACTGTCTAGACTCATTTGTGTTTGTGACAATCTTTTGTTGTTTCAAACCTGCAGATATGGTGAAGAGTAGAGTGTTCAATTGTTCCAATACCAATATCATCTGTTCAAATTCACATTGAACATGTAATAGGACTGTGAAAAAGCATTATACAATCCTGCAAGGTCCTTTACCCATTCAGAGCATGATACAAGTTTCACGTGAACTTGGTGAAAAAATTTTGGCAATCATTGATGAGATTGTTAGAGTCTATGCTGCACTCTTTAAACTTGGATGAAGGCATTGTATATAATGAGTGATGTCTGTGCTAGTTTGTACAATTCTTGAGTCAAATATTGGCTTAATGTTGCAACTGGGGCTGAAGCGATATTAACTATTTTTGTTTATTCTGGCTGTATACATGTATTTAGTACATGGTCACCAACTTAATCTCTTTAACTAAGTATTTACCCTCTGATAATTTAGCACTACCTGAAGTTGTGATTTTGAACTTTATGCCATACTTGTCCTATTAGCATTGTCATTGCTTCATCAATAAATTCTTATTCCTGTAGAGTTATGTTAAAACCATGAAAATGTTGCTTTAGAGAAAAATGAAGTTAAAATTTGACTGTAGTTTTTGCTATACAGTTTGCCACAGGAAGACTCCATTTGAAGCACTTGGATTATAACTGTACTGGCTTCACTATTGTTTGCCCCCTTTGTCAAAATGGTGATCACATTACCAGGCAAAATCACTGTGATGTTACGTTGAATAAAGAAAATATCAAAGTTAGATATTTTAGGTCCAATATTGAGCAACAAACAACACTGAATTTTCTTTGAAATGTACTAGATTGTTTTTTAGTGTTAGATTGATGCTTATCTTCTTTACAATTAATATATCTGCACTTTTTTGGTTAATTTCACAATGATTTGACATTTTACTTGTACGAAACCTTTGACTATCTTAATTATTTTTTGATTTTCAGCCTATTGTGATTGATGGCCGAGGTCACCTCCTTGGTCGCCTTGCTGCTGTTGTTGCAAAAACTCTCTTAATAGGTAAGTGTCCTAAGTAGGTACTCAGTATTATGAATGTGCAATCCAATAAAATAATGGGTATTTTCCAGTGTGTATAATGCACTGAAATAAGGACATGCAACTGTCATGAGCTTTATTTGTTATTGATTTTCTGGGCTTAAACTAGTGTTACCTAGACATTTTGGTTTCAATGATGAGAACAGTTTGGTATGATTTCACTGATTCATATTACATGCACTACCAACTGAGAAAGCTTTATGGTTATACTATTCTTAATATATTCCAGTATTGGAATCTTAACATGGATTTATTGTGTTACAGGTCAAAGAGTTGTGGTTGTGAGATGTGAAGGAATAAATATCTCTGGAAGCTTTTTTAGAAACAAGTGTGAGTATTTATATTTTTGAAAGTTTAGTGTTTTTAAAGATAATTGTTTACCTTTGTACATGCCAGTGTTTTTCATCAGGCAGTTGAAAACTTGAGGGTTCATGTACACAAAAAGTCTGAATTTTTAATAAATAATTTATAGTGAAAATGTGTCAAAGAATTTCTAAAGCCTTTACTGAATTAATCTGAGTGCAAGGTGATTTTCATGCTGAAATTGACAGTACTTTTCATTTTGAATTTTTCATACAAATGAGTGTTACAAGGTTTTTTAAAGGTAAACTCTAAACTGACTAGTGATATGAAATTTTGAAAATTTACAAGTAGGTTAAAATGTGCATGTTAACTGCTTCTTAGTTACATTGAAAATTTAATTAAATTGCTTTATTATCATTCTACACAAATAAAGTTAGCATTAAAATGTAGCTATTGAATCAATTTTTAATATTATAGAAGTTTTTAATTAAATATTTTTAAAAAATCCTCAACCTCTGAGTATGAGAATTGACTTGTATATAATTTACATACCACCACTTGGAGAAGTATAAAATATAATGTAAATTGTTCATAATTTCACCACTCTGGCAAAGCATAATTTTTGTAGCCTTCGATCTTGTTTGTTTACAGAGCCATAACCTAGAAAATATAACCTTCTCTTTCACAACTTATTAATAGTTCTTTTTGAAATTTAATATAATATTTATAACCAATAGAAAGCCAATGTTTTAACTCTTTCAGTACGGGCTCGGTCCGTTGAACCAATCTTATAACCATTTTGTGCTTGTTATAGTTTTCATGCTATTACTTTTAAATTAGTAAGCATATGTAAACTAAATTTGGCAGATTATGAGTAAACATTACAATGCTTTCATATGTAAAATATCGTAATTTTTTTATAAGTCTTAAAGTTTGTTAAGCAATGTTTTTCTCATGTCTTTTTCTTTTCACATGTTGCCTTTCTGTCATGCAAAGTAATATTCAATTTAAGATTAAAAATATTTTTATGCATCAGAAAATTTCCATATTTTACTTGTGAAATCTTGATAATGTCCAGATAGTTAACAAACGTTTCTTAAGAAAACAAACTATTTTATCTGTTATTTTCACTAATGAAACTCTTTACGGGTTCGGTCGGTTTGTCCAATCTAATAACCACCAGAAATAAATATAAATTATGCCTCTTTCATTCTAGAATATAACAAATTATAACATGAACACAAATGTTTAGACTAAATAGCTTAAATCTCATAACATTCTACATCTATATATTTTTATTGTATTGACCTATCAACCGTGCTTGGCTATCAATACAGAAGTTAGTGACGTGACACAGGTGCACTTGTGTTACCATATCCAATAATGCAAGACTGACCTTAGCCTTTACAAAGTGACCTGTCTTGGCTGTGTTTTAGTAGAGTAGTATTTTGTAAAGTAATCACATTTCAATTATTATACATTATATATGTATATAGATTATTGCTATTTTGAAATAAGTTCTTAGACTTGTTTTTCTTAAAACATATAACAAAAAGAAGCAAACAATTACCTCTTCTAGTTACAACATTTGTATTCGGTTGCTGCTTGATGTAGATTGCCAAGTCTATAAATTTTGCACGTGGAGGATATGAAACGAAATAATTTTTTTAGGTTTGATTTTTTTTCTCACGGTATTCACATCAACAAGCTTAGCTGAATTTTTAAGTGTTCTTATCACGTGGTTAAAAAGCCAGTTATAGGATGTTTGTTTTGTGTGTTGTTATTCTTTGTTTTAGGTACATTATGTAATTAAGTAAACTTGTGCATATTGACTTGTCTATTGTTAAATCATGTGACTCTTGAAGGACTGTGTCATTTTTATGAACTTGATTCCTGTTTTCTTGACTTTACTACAGGTGAAGTTCCTTCTAACCATTTTTATATATATATATTTAACGAATATAATATGATATTTAAAACTTGCTTTTTCCAAATGTGGCTTGTTAAAATATTACATTATGAATGCTTCACTTATGCCAAATTTGTACATGATGTTATCATTTTACCTAAATTGTTATGAAAACCATTGTGAATTGAGACAAGCGTAGATGGGTATGTAAATATTTCATTTTTTTTCTGATAAGAACCTTGTTTTTAGTGAAGTATCTTGCCTTCTTGAGGAAGCGGTGTAATGTTAATCCGAAGCGTGGTCCATTTCATTTTCGTGCTCCCAGTAAGATCCTTCTCCGCACCATTAGGGGAATGGTGCCCCACAAGACGAAACGAGGGGAAGCTGCCCTTTCAAGACTTAAGACCTTTGAGGGTATCCCACCACCTTATGATAAGAGGAAGAAGGTTGTAATTCCCTCAGCTTTGCGTGTGATGAGGTTGCGTCCTGGAAGAAAGGCATGTTTTCAAGATTTGAATATTGTCTACCACTTGACACCAAAATATCAGTTTGTTTATAAATTGTTTGATATATTCTAGTGTGTGCATTTTTATTTTAATGGTGAAAAGATAAGGAAGAAAGATGCTTAAAACTAGCAAGTCAGTTCAAACTAGGTATTGCTATATATAAGTGACCTCTGTTGACAAAATTGGTAACTATATGATTAAAGTTCTGTGGGAGACATTTTCACCTGTGTGGCTCTTTAACTCCACCAAACTTATTTATTATTTCAGTGTTATATACAGATTTATTTATGATGTAAACTTTAAAATGTTTTTTTCATCATAGGATACTATTAATTTTAATAGAAATGTAAACAGAACAATCAGTTTTTGTGTATTTCTGACAAAACTAGTTTAACATGTTGAGATTTCAAAATAAAAGCTTTCATTTTAAATTTACTCTGTGATGATAACTTACCTACTATGAGTACAATGAAATAACGATCTAAGCCTGAGAGTAATTTTGTGATGATTACATAAATGACAAGGAAACCTATTATTTTAAAACTGATATGTTGTCTGTTTTAGTTCTGTACTGTTGGCCGTCTTTCTCATGAAGTGGGTTGGAAATACCAAAATGTCATCACAACTTTAGAGATGAAACGCAAAGCAAAGTCTGCAGTATACTATAGTGACAAAAAACGAGATCAGGTAAGTTCTGCCACTAGTTGATAACAAAACACACAAGTCAGTCCTTTGGATTTGAGAGGCACGGTAATGCACGTAAATTTGTCATTATCACTCACATGAAAAAACCCTTTTTGAAATCATGTGTAAAAATGGTTTAAGCACATGACGAGTTGTATTTTCGTATCATGACTAATACAGCTGTTTATTACTGCAGCACTGATGATCCATGACATGGGGTTGTTGTTGTTGAGCATGTATTAATCCTAATCGGGGGGGTCTACAGTTTACTATTGTATGAATTACTATTCATGTAAAACAATGGTGGCAACTGTTGTGAGCTGACGCTTGTCCACATTTTTAAAGTGTGGGAATTGCCAGATACCATCGGCTATGTGATAAAAAAAAATGTTGAACTGAGTTGGCTGTGAATGTAAATATTTTTACAGATGAGTAGCACATTGCTGATGTGTTGATATTATACTAGCAGGTGGCGATTTATCATTAATTATGCACATGTTCAATGTAAGGTTTAGGCATGTTAAAGGATATCAAAATCAGATTGATATTTGTGAATGAATTTAAATAGTAGCCGAATTGACCAGATTTAAATCATGCATTGGCTTTACTTGTCAATTGTTTAGTCCAAGGTCTTCCTTGACACTTTTTGTGTCATTGATAACTAATTTGACACCTGACTTTGGCTACTTTTTCTGATGCTGAAAATAACAGTAGATAAACTCTGGCTATATTCATGTCAAACAGTGTCTTGTAGGACAATTTTTTATGTTCAAGTGCTATGCTAAAGAAAGAAGCAGAACAATTTCGTAGCTTATATTCAATAGAACAAGTGTTCAGCCTCTCCCTAAATTTCATGAATGTGCTGCCTTTGGTGGTGGAGTAACATACCCTATACAACATCATTGATTATCTGCTAATATTTTTATTCACTTGTAAAAGAAAAAGAAATTTAGTAAGGCCCGTTTTTGGCAAATGTTGATAACCAAATGTGCATTTTAAAGGTGTTTGAGGAATTACTAAGTACTGCATAACTTTTACAAACATAATGCATGTATCCACAGTTAAATATATTAAGATCTTTTTTGAGTTTATTAATTTTATTCACTACATTATGATACATGGACCTGAAAGAAAAACACATTTTACTGTTTATTTTATTCACTACATAATTATACACGGACCTGAAGAAGAACTTTTTACTGTTTATTTTATTCACTATATAATTATACACGGACCTGAAGAAGAACTTTTTACTGTTTATTTTATTCACTACATAATTATACACGGACCTGAAGAAGAACTTTTACTGTTTATTTTATTCACTACATAATTATACACGAACGTGAAGAAAAAACCTTTTTATTGAATGATTAAAATCACTCGCCATACTATTTTTCAGGTGAGTGGTAAAAATTACTCGCTTTACAATTTTGAGGCAAGTAAAAAAATCACTTGCCTGCTATTTTCAAACACTATGGACGGTAAGTGCACTTGATTGTAAAAGGGAATTTTTATGGGTTTTTGAGGGAAAATCAGTTTTATTTCTTGGTCTATGTGGTTGGCTTCAAGGCTACTTTGTTGTTTCTGTTCTTGCAGTAACAAACTAAAGTTGTTTTTCTAAAAGCCAATTTTGAAAAAAGAATTCTTAGTAAATCTTTATTGATTGTGAGCTAACTTTTGATGTAAAATTGTTTTGGTTTATGTATGTGATAATTTTAATAAGCTTAGGGTATAGGTAGGAAGAAACTATAATTTTGTTAACTTTTTTTTATTTATGTAGAAATTGCTTCAAGTAGCCAAGCAGAAGGTGGCTAAGGTCATCGAGCCATACAGGAAAGTTGTCGAGAGTTATGGTTACTAGACATAAAAATGTAGAATGGTTGAATAAATGTCAAGACTTGATGACTTGTTTGATGTATTTTGTCTCGTACAAATGAATTATAGATCATAACAATGACTGTTAGTAGTGTTTTCAAGATACCAGAATTCCCTCCACTACAAGTCTGTAAAAGTTCTTATTGTTTTCCTTCTACCCAGTAAAGCTGAGAAATATGAACTTGCATATTTTAAATATGTGAAGGGTTTTTCTTTTCTTGGAAATATGCTTTCTTAAATTAACATAATTATAATGGTAACTTAAAGTATAATTTGAGAATTTTACTAAGTTATGCCTGAGTTTAATGTTATTTATCTAGAAATATTGGTCTTTTAAAAATATAACTTCAATTGAACCATCTTAATGCAATATGTAAAACAATTATGAGTATTAACTTTCAAGATTACAACCATATCTAGAGGGTTTTATGATGTCACAGCAAGTGGGTTGGACAGTAACTAGTAAATCTTAAACTTGAAATCAGATAGAACTAGAGGCTAAAAGTTATTGGATATAAAAGATTCTTGTCTATCTTCATCAGTGTAAAGTAAATAAAGTGTGAAAAGAACTAATGTATGGTTTCTGAAAGAGTAATTAGTGGAAGTTCTCATGAGTAGAGAACAAGGGAATCTAATATGAAGTTTACGAAACATAGGAAATTGTTTTTATAGTTTATTATGTCTGTTTGAAATCTAAGGGAATATTCTTCTCTGAAAAGACTTCATGTAAGGATTCTTAATGGTAGTGAGTACAGTAAGGTAGGAGTTCTATGATGGTAAACTACTCCAATGCTAACTTTTTAATTGTGTCTATGGTAAATTTTTTATTGCTCAAACTAGACATAAATACCAGAAAATCATAGTTACTGAAAAGATAATTATTAGCTTCATAAATATTGTTAGAAAATTTCACTTGTATTATTGGAAGTGTGAGTTGTGTTTTCTACCAGTCAGTACATAACTGGTTCAGTAAGTAAAGATACAATAACATATAGAAATAATTGATAAAAATAACCTGTTCAGGCCCATAATATTTTTAAAAAATCCATTTTCATTTCATAAATTTTAATATTAAGTTTTGTTGTGTGTAGGATCTTGTACAAAGAGGTGAGAAAAATGTTTCTAAAACAACATGAACACAATATTTATAGTTTTATTGATACATTTACATAATTTTAGGCAAATAATAAAGAAACTAAGATGAAAGGAAGTATTTCTTATGAAAACTGTTTGGTTACAAAATATACAGATGGTTATCAAATATAAAAACTGTATCACCAAATATTCAAATAGTTACCCAAGTTATATTTTTTCATGTACAATATCATGTGGAAGGTGTAAACCAACTTTCATGCAACTATATTAAGCATTTTTAAATTAACAAAACAAACTAGTGACACTGTGCTGGCTTATAAAAGACTTAGTGTGTTTCTCCCAAGAAATCAGTATGTCCCTCTTCACAAAATTTCAGAAGACATTAATCTGTTATCAAAGTAGGATGTAACTATGTGCATGGATGGGAGCCAAAGTGTCGTGCCATAACATTCAATATGGTATTATGTATTTGATGTGACAATTATCTATATATTACTAAACCTCTGAGATTGTTTGTTTGCTTGTCTGTAATTAAACACAGCAAAAACGGCGCACAATACCGCCATATTTGTAATGAAATGAGAATACAAACCGAATAAAACAAGTTTAGTTAAAATTGGGCCACAGATTACAGAATTAGCCCACTTTTTCGGTCACTTTTCGTACATTCCATTATTATAAAACTTCGTTTTCCACGTGATGAATAACTAAAGTATATTCTATACAACAGTATATGCACAACAGAAATTAAATGATGAGATGAAAATGTGTTATATCTGCGCGTAGAAAGAACAACAATAAAATGGATCTACAATATTATTGAATATTTGGAAATGGAGACAAGGTAATAAAATAAAAATCAAGTCTATAACAAAATTTTATAGATGAAAACTTCTGGCCGAGCATTGGCTATTATTTTACTGTCAATGTTACCATCTTCGTTAAAAGGCGTAAGATGACAAAAACAAGTTCTTGAAAAATCTATATACTACTAAAACTCTGAAATTGTTTGTTTGCCTATTTTCTCAGTCAAAAAATCATTCACACTACCGTTCGCGCTCTTTACGAAGTTTCATCGGACCACTGGTTACTGAGTTAGCTCCGTTTTTCGGGTCACTTTTATGAAAATTTCTAGCATGAGTAATTTTATATTCCACTACCGTTCGCGTTTTTTACGAAACTTCTTCGTTCAAATCTATTTCCTTGTCAATGTTCCCATCTTCATTAAAAGGCGAAAGATGACACAAACAAGATCTTGAAGAATTTCTCAATAATGTGCCTTAGTTATGGTAGGTAATTCGAAGAAAAAATAAAGTGTTACTGTTTATTATTTGTAGAAGGTTTAAGAGGAAAGACCACAACATGATGAACTAATTTATCACAATACCTGAAAACTCCGACTTCACTTTATTTGAAAAATGAAATTGATTTTTACTTTTGCTCGCGATCAACAATCAAATATCTTTTATTGAATTATGATTAAAAGGAATGGATTGAAATATTTAATTAAATTATCTGAAAATAAACCTTGATTTCGGTGCAAGATTGAAATTAGCTTGACTTCTTCATAACCTCTGAATAGTGGGTGACCCAACGGGTCGCGGGTTGTCTAGTTAATTATTCATTTTACTCTACATAGTTGGTTTAGCTACAAGTTGTGGTGTAGGAGAGTGACTACCAGATACACATGGATACTGGAAATTGTAGATATGTATTTTGGAGGATGTTATGTACGATGGATAAAAATGTTTTTATTCTCCACATTAACATCAGCTCACACTCTGATTTATCAGATTGATTTCATGAGCATATCTAGAGAACAGATACTTTTGTGTACAACAGGCTTGTACTTATTACTAAAATTTTGCCACACTTAACGTAGTAAACATATCTTCTCCAGTTTATCAACATTTAAGAAGAAACTACAATGTTTCTCCCAGTCGATTGTCATCGTGTTCTTCCTTACAAATGTCCGTTCACTTAAAATGAAATATTCACCAGAACTTTTAAAGTTGTACAACAGACAACTATTTGTTAAAGATACAAATAGTAGAATCACCTGAGGATTCAACTGGTATGGAAATTTCTTATCAGCAAGTAAGTGATACTAATACTGTACTATAAAATATGACATTGGATTACCGTAACTACACATTTCCATGGGAGTTATTTTGGCTGGAAGAATTATTTTACTGTTGTGATAAATTGGAATGTTCATATAGTGTACTTTTTTGATAACATTTTATTGGTTCATATGGTTAAACCTATGACTTCTTGTATTCTAAGTTGTGAAATGTTTTATAAAAAATATCTAAAAGAATATGCTATAGAATAGGCTTTGTTAAGATTAGATCCAAGTTTATCATTGTCACAGTTTTGTGTGGTAATCAATTATTTTAATGGCACATCACATTTAGTTAAAAGTGTTTAAACATAGTCATTTGAAAGACTGCTACGTGATAAGTTCGGTACACATAGCTACTAGAACGACTGATACTTGAAAGTTCAGTAAACATTGCCACTTCAAAGACTGCTACATGACAAGCACGTTAAATAGTCATGAGCAGTAGATAATTGTACTAGACTCGCGTAATAGGTATTGAATTAAAGATACATTGCCTTTAGTTATTGAAACCATAGAAAAAGAAGCTGATTGAAAAGGGATTTACATACAACATCATCAAGAGTATGGTGACCTGTTTTCACAGGCTAGGGTAAGAGATCGGTAAAGTGACTTGAGGGGAAATAAATAGTTGTGGAAGTTCTAGGCATAGCTGGACCACAGACACAAATGTTTTTCATGGATAATTCAATACAAGTTTACGGTTTACAAATCTGTTGCATTGCATTTAGGAACAAAGTAATACCAGTGAGGTATTCTAATAAGGATTGTTGAGTAGAAATGACTTAGTCGACATGGAAAGGTGCATATATTAAAGAAAGTAAAGACAAACTGGTAGCGGATTGAATTTCATATTTCTGCCGCTCTGTGTACCAACAAGTTCCTGGCAGGAAACGGTTGACGTAGTTACGTTTATTTAAAAACAATGTTGTTCTATAAATTTGATATAGTGAACAGAAAATAGTTTTTGTTTAAAACAAATAATACAGCAAGTAAAAATAAAAGTTTCAAACGGATAATCGTCACCACCTGAGTCGCCGCGCGAGGTATACGACCACGAACGTTGTGTTTAACTCGGACATTAATTTGATTTTTACCGAAGTGACTAGTGCCATGCGTCATAATTTCCCAGTATTTATTATTGTTTTTCTCTCTTGAAGTCCACTTACGAGCATAGACCTACAATTTCAAGTATCATATAATATAAAATCGGCAAGTTGCAGTGAAATGATGGAAGTTAAATGACTGTAGTGCCTAAAGGAATGACAAAAAGATAACGTTAAATGTATGAAAAAGTAACAATCTAATTATTATAAATACATGGCCACCACTGAATTAGCCACTCTTAAATATTTTTAGTATTTTGTAAAGATTTCTATGTTAACAAAAAAGATGAGTTTATTCTATTGCTAAATTTCGAAAGCGATAAGATTATGAATGCAATGTTACGATTTTTGATTTAAAAAACCTGTTTAATAAACGGAGACTTTAAATTAAGAAATCATCAAATATTTTTCCAGTTTTGTTGTCTGTACATTTATTTTATACTTTCAATACATAGACTATCAACAATATTAGGTTATACTTTTGTTGCTAAGCGTTGTTGGAACGTAGTGTTACCAAAACGCACTGGCTTTTCTATATATTAGAAGGTGCTAATCCAACTGATTTTTACCAATAATTATTCTATAAATACGCCACGAATTCATTTCATGACTGAACTTAATTTTGATTGACTCACAAAGGAATTTACAGACGTTTGACTGCCTCGATTGCACATTTCTGTCTCTTTGTTGGTCAAGTTTGATTTCGC